GAGGTTTCTGTTCATGGTCGGTGGGCCCTGTTGCTTTTGGTTCTATGGTGAGGCAGCACATCATGGCAGGAAACTTGTGGTGGAGCAAAATTCTTTACCTCCTGGCTAGGACACATCCACACACACAAAAGGACAGAAAGGGATCAGGGTCCCACTCTTGCCTTCATGGGAACACCCCCAATAACAGGAAGACCTCCCACTAGGCTCCACCTCGTAAAAGTTCCACCACCTTCCAACAGCACCAGAGCCTGGGGATTAAGTCTTTAATACGGAGGGCATTGGGGGACTTTGCTCATCCAAACGATAGTACCATTACTTACTGACACAGAAGAAAGGCCAGGCAATATGGTTAACTTTTCAACAGAAAAGCAACTGGGTGTGGCGGCACAGACCTGTAATCTCAGCTGTTCAGGGGGCTGAGGCAAGAGGATCACAAACTCAAGGCCAGCCTTAGAAACTTAATGAGATCCTGTCTCGAAATAAAAAGGGCTGGGGATGTAGCTTCATTGTAGAGCATTTACCTATCTCGTGCAAGGTCCTGGATTCAATCTCCAGCACCACAAATGCAAACAAACAAAAATAAAAGAACAAAATGGAAAATAAAACAGAAAAACAGGCTAGAAAGGGGGAAAAATGACATCAAGCAGTTTGTTTTACACTTCATATAAATATGTGTGTGTGTAGCAGAGTATGATTATGGATTAAAACAAACACACATATGTATTTATATAAGTACAAATGTGTGTATATATGTATTTTGCATATATACATATATATGTGTATGTGTGTATATACACCTGTGTGTGTGTGTGTGTGTGTGTGTGTGTGCATGCGTGTGTAGCAGAGTTAAGATAATGGGTTCTGAAGTCACCTTGACTAGGTTTGAATCCCAGATCTGCCATTAGTAGCCTATGTATTCTTGGGGATGATAATAATCCCTATCTCCTAGGGCTCCCATAAGGACATACAGCACTCAGAATGGAGCCTGGTGCATCCTAAGCATTGAGGGAGCATTAGTTCCTTTCATTACTCACTCTAAGTGGAAAGCAGCTTGAGTAATTTAATGAGGTGATTTTCATTTGGGGTACAAAACATCATAGCAAGAATGTCCTCTGCTCAGCACCCTCCAGCTCACTCTCCAGTCACGAGGCTGGCGGCAAGGATGAGGAGGACGGATCATTCATGTACACTACAGGAGCTATTCTTATCTCTAGGGGTTATTGTTAGCACCCTCAAAGGCTTTTTCTTTTTCAATACCTGAAATACATTGTGGGAAATTAATTGGTTTTCTCAGTCTAATTTCTAGTGTCAGCTGTGACATCACAAAGTCAGCTCCCCAGATGGCACCAACTGGGCCTGTTATCAGCATTTTTAGCACTGATGCCAAAATGAAATGGGTCCAGCAGCCTAATCAAAATTTACATGCTAATAGGTAGTCCCTTGTGAATGAAGTTAAGCAGAAAATCAATAAATTAGCAGGTACCGTTCCTCTAACAAAATCTTTACAGACTTGAAGTAATAATAAAATAGCAAGGAGTCGATCTCAGACCTGACAAAGAATATTATGTATCAAAACATACATATATATACGTACATAAGTATGTGTGTATATACCTGTGCGCATATGTAGCAGAGTTAAGATTTAAGGAATAGAAATATAGCATTAGAAATGAAGAAATCATTTCTAAAAAAAAAAAAAAGAAAGAAAGAAAAAGAAATCCAAAAGGGAATTATAAACCCAAATTAGCTTTCTGTTTTTTAGTTAAAAATTGAGATTTTTTTTTTAGCAAAAGTTAATATTTTAAAGTAAACTTGGTTTTTCACTTAAAGAGCAATACAGAATTCCAAAGATTTTAATGTTTTGTTCTCTGTGAAAGTCCACTGGGAAGTATTCAATTTTTCATTATTATCTCAAGATATTTGTGTGATCCATACGCTCCTTTTGTTCATTCTGCAGCTCTTAGCCATCTGTCATGTTTTCTGGAGAGCCTGATAAACACATTTAGTCTAAACCATATGGTCATAAACCTGTTATTGTGTCATAGTCAAGGTCTTTTTTTTTTTAACAAAAATTCATTTGACCACCATTACTTCTTCAAGAATGTTATCCTAATCTCAAAATCAAACTTTGGACTCATAATAAATCAGCTTTGAGTATGTGTCTACTTTTAGTAAAATGCCTAGATAATAGATGTGTTGAAGTGGTTAAGTTTTCTCATCATTTTTGTTGAAATTCTCTGATGGCTTTTGAACCATTCATCATATTGACCTGCCTGGGTTTTGACTTTTTTTTTTTTTAACTTCCAATGCTTTTTTCCCCAAATCATCCTCAGCTACCAACCCATTCCCATGATGAGATCTTTGGCTGTGTCATCGTGAAAACTGTACCACCTCTGAATCTTTACCTTGAGCACCCCGCATCTAGTTTGACTTTGGTGCTACAACTCAACAATTCCATTAATTGTACCACCTTTTTATTTTTCTTTTTTACTACTCATCATCTCCCTCAATCTATGAACCATAGAATCACATCTATTAAAAGCACTAAGTTTCCATTCTTTTCCCTCTCCTTGGACTCACTTTGCAAAGCTCTATCCTTGGTTAAACTCTACTTTCTACTTACTCCATTCCTGTATTCAAATAGCTAATAGGAAAAAAAAAAAACACCTCACCAGGATGACTAATATGTTCAATTAAAGATTATAAATCTCAGGTGTACTAAACCCTACTCAGCAATCCTCTACTGCTCTATAAATGATCTCCCAAATCACGCATCCCTTTTCACATTTTCCTCCTGTCTCTCTTATACCTTTCTCTCACCATTAATAGGCTACATCTCCTATCTCAACATTCTCCTCCAGCTACTGCCTAAATTTTTCCCCCTCCATTTTCTCCCCTCATTTTTCTCTCCTTAACTATCTTTGGATTGCTTTCCTCCCTACTCTGGTGCATCTGCTCTTGAAAGGGTCACTAATAAATTCTATCACACATGCAAACATTTGTGTGTATGTTAATAAAGGAATTAAATATTTATCTTGAATTCATGCAGAACTTTTCTCTTGTCCACTCACCTGCGTGTGATCTCTACTGGAAAGACTAGGGCACATGGGTTCAGCATTGCCCTCCATGTTCTCCTTCTTAAGCTTGTATGTTCTCCTTATGATGGGCTGCATACTGGAGCATGTTTAGGCAATTCCTTATGGAAATACATAAAGAAATATGACTGGCTTCACAGAGAATAAGTTGATGAAGAAATGGTTCAGAAACAGAAGGAGAGAGAGTAGATGAGCAGAGGGGTAGGGGAGCACTGGCCCTATGGGTGTGATGGTTGGTTACTGGACTGGGTGGCATATTTGGTGTTCCTGGGCCCAGAATGGTAGATGCTGGTAGCAATCCCTTACCACCACAAATGCCCACATATTTTCAATCACTTCCCCCAAGAGGACTGAGAATTAATGAATGGAATGGCACAGTCATTTTTTGCTTTATGTTTTACAGCAAATGTACCTTCTGTATATAATTTGCTGAAGACATAATTCATGAAACACTTCTACCCACAATATTTTTATGGTATGTTAATAGCCTTTTAGCTTAATGCTTTTGTGCCTTGCAAGCTAATTCTGGAACGCATTAAGTGTGTTAAGTCAGAGTTAGATGCATGGGGATTTAAACCTGCTGAATGGAATGAGAGAGAGGGATCCTTTGACAAGCAGTTTGGAGACAAAGTGACACATCAACGTTCAACAATATAATTGCTGCAAAAGAGGCCATTATCCCCTTTCTATTTGTTTATGAGGGAACAAGTAAAATCAGAGGAGGTTAATATATTTCTTTGAAAGGGAGAATTTAGGAAGTCAAGCAAATAATTTCCTGAGCCATTACTGGGAAGAAGTCATTCAAGAATGATGCTTGACCTTCAGGGGGCACTGTGATAGACCACTGTGGTATGTACCATCCAAAAGTGGCTCCATAAATTTCTCCCTCCTGGTGTTTACTCCCTTTGGTAATCCTCTGTCCTTGAGTACCCACGGTTTGAACAGTGTGGTTCCAGTAGAGTTCCAAGTACAGACTCTTTTCAATGAATAGAATGTAGGGAAAAGGATGGCATATCACTTCTGAGACTCAGTTACAAAGAACAGACACTTCTGTCTTGCTTGCTGCCATGAGGCAACTTGCCATGCTGTGAGCTTCTCCAGGAAAGGTCTCTGGCAGATACTATGCAAATTTAAGCAAGTTGTTTAACTTCTCTGGGATTCAGTTTCTTCATGAAAAAGCTGGTGTTGAAACTGGAGGGGACTTTAAGAACTGCAAATATTTTATTCTAAGCTCCACCCCCAAATCTCTTTCTTATTAACTGGAAACTCCATCAGGAGGTTTTCCCCATGGACTTTACCTGCAGTTACTACTCAGGTGGAGAAATTTTAGATGGTGAGATAAATGGAGATAGAATATCTATGGACACCTTTAAAGATAGTACAAACAGATAAGTTCTTGTGTTGCTATGAAGCAGCTACAGGGTAGTGGTGAAAGCAACCAATATAAACTGATTGTTTTCAAATTTTTAGGGTACAGTGGGCTTCCTCCTTTCTGATATATGCAGACATATAACTGATCATATTTCCTTCTTTCCTTGGCTGCAAGGAAGCTTAGGGAAAACTCAAGTTCAGTCACAGCTACTGTGTCCCATATGTGTTTGTATTTTTTTTTCCTGTCTTAGTTTTTCCACTGGTCGGTTATCACATGTCTTTTGTTGCAATCCAGCTCCAGTCCTTTATGGAAAATCTTGGAGGCATAAATAAATATAAGAAACATACGTGTTTTGACTTTTTAAAAAATCTAATTGTGATAACACACACAGAAATTGCAAATATGGAGATATACTTCTATCTTGATTATTTTCAAAGTTTAAATAATGTTGCTATGGTTTCAAAGGGAAGACAAAGATTTAAATCAGCATAATGTGAAAAAAGCATCAGGTGGAAAAATGAAAGAAAACACAATTGCAACAATATTTGTACCGTTTTTATTTGTAAAAATAACCATCTGAATGCATTTCCATAGTATATTACAGTTAAGTACTTCATTACGTTATTAGAGCATTCAGTAGTTGCAAAAGTATCAAACTGTGCTTGAGAAGATTCAGATTGGTTCAAAGTCATTCACTGAACTAAAAACAATTTTCCTCATTTTTACAGTCATGACATTTACCAGAGTCATTTAACTCCAATTTACATAAGAAAACATTACAGACAAAATCCCACTGAAATCATCAAACAATATTTTATGCTGTTACAAATATGTTATGCAAAATATAACACTGGCACCAAATTTGTATCATCGTGCGTTGTAAAGATATATTGCACATGCTAAAGCATAAAGAATGTAGACAAAACTACTAAACAAAAGGTACTTGCATTGAATCTTTATATCACTTCATAAGAAACTCATAGAATTACATTTTATACACACGCTCAGATTGTCACTATCTCAAAACGCTTTTCCTCTATAATACTGACCTATGGTTTACAGTTTTGTAAGAAGAAAGCATTTTAGCACTGCAAAACCAAATGTAATTCCTATAGAAAACTTTAGCATTTTCATTTCAAAGCAGAGAAAAGGGGAAAGGGAGGGGAAGACACTTTATACATTCAAAGAAAGGTTGCAATGAAAACTCACTGGTATTATATTGCTCTGATAACACTCAAATGAAAAAAATACAAAACATTTCACATAACATTTTCAGAATATACAAATATAAAAAGGCACTCTAACTTCATTTCACATGACAAAAAATGGGATGAGTTTTCAACCTACACAACAGATAAGCAAACCAAGTTGCTCAACAGTACAAAGATTAACTAGTGCAGCAAATCCATTTGATGTTCTGCTCTAACTGAATAATAAAACAATAAGTCAAGCAGCTGTTTACTGCCTAAAGTACCAAAACATACTATGGTGCCCTTTTAGTAGTGATAAATAGAAATCCCCTGAGCTATTTACTGTAGAATCATAGCAGGATTTAGGCAATTTGGAGATAATGATGTATTTACCAATGATAGGCAGACACTGGCGATTCGGTAAGTGCAATGAAACATGATCACAGGGCTGTGGTTAAAATACAGTCTAAAAATAACACATTTAGGTAAAAGCACTAAGCATGTAAGACTAAAAAACACATTTTCTGTTTTTGTTTTTTTCTTAGAAAGCTATGTTGCAAACAACTTTATTTCTAAAAGATGTAATTTGAAACACACATAAATTACAGTTTTTAAAGTCATTTCTTAAAAAAAAATTTGGTCTCTCTTATGAAGGAGAAGTGGGGAGAAAAAAGGAGAAAGAGATCTATACTGATTCAATGAACAGTTCATTGTGAGCATGATTTCATTTTGTTCCTTTGTCCTCCTTCTATCGGAAAGACAGTGAGGAAAAGTCAAAATGCAGCTCCACAGAGATAATGCCTCAAGGTAGGTCACTGCTTTGCTGAAAAGATCCACTACTCTCTGCTACTCTACAGGAAAAATGTTAATGCTGCCTCGCCATTGAACACAGGCATTTCATTTCCTGCTTTAAATACCAACTGAGTAAGACTCCCATTCACTTCTAGAAACAGACACCTCAGTGTGTCATGCTCTTCAATATCGGAGCTCCCTTGTTTTCAGTGTTTTGGTAAAGATAGGTCATTATTGTTCATTAGCAATCTGTTTACATTTTAAAAAATTCATCTTCTGTAAACAAAAAGAACAGAAGAAGGAGAGAAAATACCACACCGAGTTTAAAAAACAATGATGTCGGTGTTGAAAATGTTTGATGAAATTAATAACGGTTCTGTAAGACCTTTGAACAAGTTCTCATGTGTGAAGAACTCAACATGAGTTTTAATTAAATCCAGGATATTAAAAGAGTAAGATTAAATAAAGTCTTTTACAGTTAGAAGAAAAAAATAATACAGTATCTGTGTTTGATTCAGATATGATAGAACACTGTTTTGAAAAATATCTCACACACACTGTGAGATAGAAATTTCCAGGGTGAAAATGGAACTTATTATAAAATGTTGACTAGTACTGCCCTATTGCAACACATTTCTTTCCTGTCTCTTCCTCAAGGGGAATATAGCACTTGAGCTGGTGATTCTGATTTCTTCTCTTGGCACAGTGCCCACGCTGACATCATTTCCCATTAGGGTTGGGGACCAGGTAAGATTTTTCAGTGTATTCAGGGTAATTTCTGGGTCTCTCTTTGGCCCACCTTTGTGTATATGACCCACTATACACTTTAGCTTTTGTCTTACAGAAAGCATGTGGATGGCCATGTCTTACACACTCTATGCTGGCTGCAGACTGGGACTGAGTGATGCATGAACCTGAGGGTGGACTGGAAACCTTAGCAGTGGAAATGCTGGGTTTGGACAGGGGGCTGCTGGCTAGCCCAGGGTCAAGGGTGTTTTTCTATTTTTTATTTTTTTTGTTATTCCAAATAAGATACATAACAATTAAAACAAGGAACAAACAGTTTCCTCGGCATTTGCTTCATTTCAAATAAATATAAACACATTTACATCAAAAGTATACAGACATTTTCTCTAGTTTGACAAAAAAAATAAACTGTGGTCAACACATCATCAGTTACAAATGTTAAGCCATCAACTAGAAATCTGTGTCATAAGAAATATAAAATACAACAAAGACTGGTACACAAAAAGATTACAACTCCATAGAAAAGCTACTACAGTTCTCACTTTCATTTTGAAGGAAAAAAAAATTTAATTCTTCCACTTTAGACTGAAGCATTTTGGTCCTCACATATAGCTGGCTGATGAGCTACATACATATATTTATATACACAGATATGTGTGTGTGAGTGTGTGTATGTGCTTAATTTTTAAAGTCTCATTCTTCTTTTTGTATAGCTGTTCCAGGTGCGGAACGGGGTCCATTTGACCTAGAAGCTTTGGCAGAAGGAGTAGACACAGTATTTACTATGTTGATTTCGTCACGGAGCAACTGGCAATTGGCTTTAATTTCCATATCACCCATCTCTACTTTCTGCTTTCACTTTCATTGTTCCCTTTTGTAGTCATACTTCCACTCACTTGGCATGACCTTGACTGAGAAGCTCATTTAACATTTTACTATTGATGAACAATGCTGACAATTCAGACTTTTTAAAAAAGTTGTATTTTGATTTAAGGAGAAATTAACAAAGGATAGTTTCATATTAAATCTGCATATTGCCTCAAAGTTTTGGCGCAATATAATTTTCACCTTCAATGTTATTAGATAGATTTGGGCTCAATCACTTGAGGGAAAATTAGTCATGTTATGGGGGAACATTGGGTGCCATATTTGTGTTAAATGAAAAAAAAAAGCAAGTTCATTCATCTGGCAACTTTAACAAAGATCTTCAGAAAGAAGTTCTGGATATTTAAGTGCTTACTATAGAATAGTTGGACTCCCTTAAAAAAGACTATTATAGGCATTATTTCTGAAGATGAACATCTTTACCTTTGGCTTCTAGTGAGGAAGTAAACATCAGAGTGAGAAGAGGTTTGAGGCATTTCCTATCCACTTCTTCCCTCCCCTCCCAGGGGACATGAATGTCACATTGATATACTTCTGAAAACTCACTGCTGAGTACACACACACAAAAATTCTTTATAGTGAACAGTTGCCTCTCTGTTGCCTTATCCCCAAGAAATAGAATCAAATACTTTTTAAAAAAAAAATTCCTTACTTAAAATGAGAGGTAGACTTTCACAGAAATATCTTAGATCTAAGGAAAACATGAAACTAAACAAAATCAGAGCCCATCTGTGTGTGTATTTCACCCTACAGCCTAGGTGCCCTCCCTAGGTTGGATCAACTCCTTCTCTACTGGCTTCTGGAAGCTCGGGCCCCCAATAATACTGGAGTACAGCATAAACATGGAATTCAAGCTTCTCTCCCTTCCTCCAACACAGGTGATGAAGGAAAAGCTTCTACCGTCCAAAGTCAAAAGGTTTCGGAGTCAGAATCGTTTTCATTGTACCCGTCCTCCGAGCCTACGTTGTTACTGCACAGGCTAACCATGCTCCCCAGATTGGAGAGGGTCGTCCTGCTCAAATTGTCTTTTTTAAAACAAACGAAGTTGACAGCCGTCATTGTACTGGAAGGAGAAAAAGGCATCATGGTAGCCAAAATGAGGGCCAGGCAGTCAGCCACGTCTTTGTTAGGAGCACAAGCCAGGGCCGGGGTATGACCTGGGCGTAAACGCAGACAAGGCAGAGGTTAGTCCTGGGGTCCAGAGAGGCGTGAGCATTCCACAGTACATCTCCCATGAGCTCACGGGTGGAGATGTATGTTGAGTTAGCATTCATGCCAGGTCAAAGGAGGAGTTATTCCCACAAAGTCATGCTAGGGGTAAGGCTGGAGGGGTTGGGAGGGGAAGACATTCTATGGAGGGGTTTTTTTTTGGTGATTGTTTTCAGCTCACACGACTACAGCAAGCACCATATTATCTGAAGTTAGGCAGAATTCCAGCCTTCATCTAGTGAACAGAAACACGAGGGGGCGGGGGTGGGACACAATTCCACAGAAAACAGCAACAGGACAACCAGGAGGATGTTTCTACTGGAGAGCACACGCACACCATGAGCCTCAGACCTGGGCCTGAGGGGGACTCTCATTCTGAGAACAATGACTTTCCATGGTAGGTAACCATGTGTCAAGTTAGAAATGATACTGAGAATTATACGGCTGTCAAAACGACTAATGCAGTTTTGTCACTTTATATATACTTTACATAAAGTATACATTAATTAACTGGTTTTAGAAAGATGGAAATGTTTGATAGATCAGACACAGGAGAGCACTAATCAATCTGTGATTAACAATTAACTACCATTTAAGAGAAATATAACAGAATTAAAAAAAAAATAGCCACCCCACATAACAAAGTCCCAAATCTGAAGTGTAACAGATGTGGGAAAAATCTATGCTTGCCCTAATTAGAGCTATGCCATCACTAGCATTTATATTTCATGAGTCCAGTCCGGATGAGAAAACTGCCTCAATACATGAAACAGGAGCCTTGGGAGGTAGTTTCATTCTTTGACTTAATCACTACCCTATCCAATATTCACTCTGCTGGCCTGAAAGGCCTAGCTAACCTCTCTGCTGGCAAAAGTTCCCACTACACAATGAGTCTTGCACTCACTCAGGTGTTCAGAGGAACTGGCTCAATAAAACTCAGATGTTCTGTTTGCCACCCATTGACCTGATTCCCTACCCCCTCAGCCTTTAAGAGATTATTCCTCTTTGTGGTGTGAAACCAAACAAGAATGTACAGTATCTTACCATTCCATCTCACAAAGGTCAGTGACCAGGAAAGGAATTATTGCAGTGCTGTACAAAACTGCCCCAAATGTTCCCAGGTCTTTGGGATCCTAATCTCTGAGATAGGCAGGCTATATTCCTCTGACCCAGGGCTCTTGTTCCTAATGTTGTCACTGCAGGCCAAATAAACCTTAGATGCAGCAGATTTATGCTAGAGAGAAGCAAAAACTAATCAATTCTTATCTCTCTGGTCATTTTGGAGAAAATCTGCAGGTTTCTCCATGCCAACCCTAAGGTATACAGTGATGAAAAGAAGGTAAGGGAAGGTGAGAGGAGATGGAGGAGCAGAAGACTCTCTTTGCTTCCTAGATGAGTCAGGTTGGGGATAGAGCAGGGTACATGCTAGGATACATGGGGCTGCAAAACCAAAACTAATAAGAGTTAGCTAATGATGTCAGTATGGCTGCTTACTTCTGAGAAATAGGCATGAGCTGCTAATTCCAATACCTGTAATAAGCAGTTAATTGAGTTACATTAATACATTATAATACTTTAATTAAATGCCACATTTAAAAAATTACTGAATTCATAAATATCCAGAAGTTCCTTTTTGCTCCTCAAGGTTAAGAGGCATTGGTGCTTGAAATGGTGGTTTAGTGCAATTCTAGTATTCATTAGTTTTCAAATTTTCTTAGGAAGCAGACAGAGTAGAAAGCTTCTGACAAGAAGTAGCTCATTTAGAAAAAGGAATGTTATATAGATCAGGAGAAGCTTTCAAGCCTAGATATTAATCAATAAAATTTTACTCATGTTCCCCAAATTTCCATATTACCAGGAATATGAGTTCTGATCTATACTTTTAAAAAAGGCAGGGGTGTGTTGATCTCAGAATGAACTGAAATAAATAAAGGATATAGGTTTTCATTGAGCCCTTGAGCATGCATTAATGACACATGTAATCTCTAATTCCTCAGCATATGCAGCTGGAATTCCAAATGCCAAGTTGAAAGGTTTTTAGTGTGTCTAAAATGTTCAACTACCATGCTGAGGAGTTAGGGATCAGCTGCTGACACTACATGCAAAATGAACAGTACTGGTGGTCTACAGTTAGACAATGTGTTTTACAAAAAGACAGACAGGACAGATTATCCTGGCTTGATTTCTTATAACACGGAACTTTCAAGGAGGAGAATGTTCTTATTGCCTTTTTAACTAGCTCCTATCTTTCTAGTTTCCTCTGGCTTCAACCAGCATAAGGACGGTACCTGCAGCAACTATTTATTTTTTTCCACTTACCATTTTCATCTACAGCAAGTACACAGGCTCCTTTGGCCAGCAGCTCTTCAACTACCACCTTTAAGCCATTGCGTGCTGCAACATGGAGTGGTCTACAAAACAATACTGAGTATCAGTTGTGATATAAATTTGCATGAGTGCTATAGTTTGGATCTGGAATGGATGCAAAGACCCATGTGTTGGTCCTTAGCTTGGTGCAAACTCAGCATTTTGTGCTATATATTGCTTAAGAATCTTAAATGAAAAAATAAATTAGAGTACTCCTTTGCCTTTAAAACAAATGCATAAGTAATTTCCTAAAATAGTGGTGAAACCTTGAACAGGTGGGGTCTATTGGGAAGTTTTAGGTCATTGGAAGCATATCCTCCAGGGGACTGTGGGACCCAGCCCCTTCCTCTTCCTCTCCTTTGTCCTGACCATGAGTGAACAGCTTTGTTTTGCTACATGCTCCCTGTTATGATATGCTATCATGCCCAAAGCAAAGGGGCCAACTGATCATGAATTGAAACCTCATAAATTGTGAGCCAAGATAACTGTTTTCTCTTTACAAGTTAATTAGCTCAGATATTTTATTTAGTAATGGAAAGCTAACACAATGAAAATACAGTATTTTGGTTAGCTTGAGTCACTAAAATGAATACGTAGTTAACAATCTATAAATAGTACATGGATATTTTTATTTTTTTTTAAAAAAGATATGTGTTGGCCAGATCTTTTCTAGGTGCTAATGATCCAACTGTTCTTACGTATTTGCCCAGATTTCCCTACAGATATTACAAATCCTCTGCATCACAAACTATCTCAGTGGCAGTAGATAGGAAGACAAAGGAAGAATTCAAGTTTTGGTGTGTTTTGTAGAAGGCTCTTTATTGCCTGATTTCTACTTCTGAATCTGAGTTGCTGTTTCATACTCTTTATCAATATGACTGGTATTAATATACACTCTTAAGTCTCATTATTATTAAATGCACAGAGATGCTCAACTGAATGTATGATACCTTACCTATCGTATAATGTCAAACTCAGCATATTGTGATATATATTGCTTAAGAATCTTAAATGAAAAAAAAATTTGAGTACTCCTTTGCCTTTAAAACAAATGCATAAGTAATTCCCTAAAATAGAAAATGAAGCAGCTTTTAGATCCTTCACACTGAGGGTTACACTGAATTATATTAAAATATAATTAAGACAAATAGCTTAGAAACTCTTCAAATGTATTCTGGGAATCTAATTTATAAAACTGTCATTTTCCAGTCAGAATACATAATGCTAATACATAATACAAATAGTTTCCCCAAATATGTCAGCCCGTAAGCCCATAAGATTTTTCTAGTAGCTCATTAAATTTACAATGTTACCACAGAAATATCAGCAAAGAGAAACAAAGGCCTCACAAAATTCTGAGAAGGAATATAAAAATAAGAATTCTGAGTAAAACTGTCTAGCTAGTCAGCATTTGCAGGCATGGGACTGTAATCTTCATGAAGGGGAAGCCAGGCCTGGCCTCCATCTTTCATCGTGGTGTCCCCCACAGCCTGCCTGGCACATGGCAGGCTCTTACATTCTGTCACGTGTCTACAACTCTGGGTCCGACTTTAGTAGTTATACTTACGTCTGCAGTGCATTATTTTTTGCATTAATAAGGCTCTCATCTTGTATCTTGTCAAGTATTAACAAGGCACATTTTTCATGACCCTAATAAAGAAAAAGAATAAGAAGAAACATGAGAGGGAGACAGTGAATTTCCTGAAAAATTACTTCATTATGTTTTAAATTGAAACTGAATTTCCTCTAACTAAAAAGCATTCTTCAGGGCTGTTTTCTGAGTCATTTTTTTTTTTTTTCCCAAAATGTCAAGGGACTCCAGCTATTCTAAGATTTTCCATTAAAATCTATTAGGACTTGGGTTAACATAAATCTGATCTAAAGGACTCATATTTAACATTAATATTTCCAAGATAATTTTTAGAATTTAATGTCTAGACTAAAGCAGATGCTAGCTTAGCTGGTAAAGCAGAAATTAAGAGTACCTTTAAATCCTTCAATATTACTTTTAAAACACATACCAGCTCCCACCTTCCTCAAACCTTCACTTAACACTGCATGATCCATTTCCACTCAGTATTCCCATTAGACCCATTATCTGTATCCCTCATCATCATTTACTGCCTTGTGTCACGAAGGGGCCCTGTTTAGGGAAACTCATCTTTTCTCACTCAACCAGAGGAAGCTATCACTAGATCTTATGGCAATAGATGGTTGACAATTTTTTAAAAAATCAGTTATTAAACCAGAGATCCCTTGTAAAGACTTCAAGCCTAGTGCCCTTGTAAGGAGGACATGGTTTCTAAGCCCTTATTAAGCAAGGGCCACTGACCGGGATCATCCTCATCACCTGAGAGTTAGAAATGTTGAATCTTGGACCCCAACCAGACCTAATGAATCAGAATCTGTATTTTAACCAAGTCCCCAGGTGATCCATTTGCACAAAAGTCTGAAAAGCACTGTGCTTGTATTCACTAAAATACTGCCTCTTGTAATGAACTCCATGAAACTAGCACTTTTTGTGGTTTCCCTGGGTTTCACAGAGCATGAAATGAGAAAATGCAAATAATGCAAGGAAGAGCTGACATTTCTGATACCGTTGGGTTTAGGTGACACCATTAATATCTTTAATTATGTTGCAATAAACCACCATCACTGGTGTCAACTGGCATTATACTATAATGCCTTTTGTGAAATCATACATACACCTATATGTTTATATGTGTGCTCATGTATGTGTGTTTTACACACATACATGGTATTATTGCAATGTCTTCAAATTGAACAACAGAACAAGTTGAACTACACACATGCACACACGCATGCACACATACACACACACACACACACACTCTGGGGATTGGACCCAATGTTGCTTTGCCATTGAACTATATCCCTAGCCCTTTTTAAAATTTTTTTATTTTGAGCCAGGTCTCACAGGGTTGCTTAGGATGGCCTTGAACTTGAGATTCTTTTGCCTCAGATTACGACTGTAAGCCACCATTCCTGTACAAATGGCTTGTTTTTTAGAAGCCTTGTTCCTAATCTGCTATGTGATACCAACTATGTTACATGACAGATACAGCAGCAGCATCAAGACTGATGGACTGTGACAAGAAGGCAAGTAGCAACATGAGGAAAGAAAACCCTTGCCACTCATTCTGGTGGCACATACTCTCATCCACCTGGTGATTCTGCCCTTTTTTTTTCCCCTTTGATTCCACTTATTGTTGACAACATCCTGGGAAAATTTATTAAGAGCCATGTTACACAGTTTCATATTTCTGAGACTGATAGAATTTCAGTGACATGATTACAACATTAAGTAACAGTGTTTTAAATTCATTTACATACTTTACTACTAGCCAAATGTAAGGGCGTGTTCAAGTCCTTATCCTTTACAGTCAGATCTGCTTGAGCACTGTTCACCAAAATATCTACAGAAAAAGCCAAAAGAGAGTTACTTAGATGAGGTGCAATTTGAAGAAGACACTATAAAAACAAAAACATTTAAAGCAGAATAGCTCACATAATCATATTTAATGTTTTTAAAGAAAAAAAAAATATGAGTCATTTACAGCCATATTTGTTCTGTCCAGATCCAAGGCTGATAGGCTTTAGCTTTAACTGTCCTTACATTTTCATTATTTCCACTTCAAATGATTCTGTTGTCATATTTGGTTTATCATTGTTGAGAAATTTCACTGTGGCAGGTTGGCTCTCGGTGAAAATGTTCACCAATGATCAAGTCACAGAGAATTGAGGGCGACTGAGCAAACTCAAGGGGCTTAAGTAAGACTATACTAAAAGAACATTGATTTCTTCCTTTGTTGTTTTTGGTTTCTGGATAGGCATAAAGGCAAAGTCTATCTGACCAGTACATACCCACAGCGCCTGCCTGTCCATTCTCAGCAGCCATCATCAGTGGTGTTCTCCCTGAATTATCTACTGCGTTCACTTGAGCATTGTGCCTCAAAAGAAGTTGCAAGCACTCCACGTGATCAGCAAATGCTGCCGCATGAAGGGGTGTCCTAAAGATGGCAAACAAACGTGACTTCAGTTTCCTTCAAATTCTGTTCTCTCTTTAGCAACTGCCCAAGAAACATGAGCACTGTGCTGTCTAGGATTCAACATTTGTCAGTTTACAGAGATTATCGACCAAGCTACCTCTGTAAGCCAGTCAGGGTAGACCTGAAGTGTCATCTATGTGAATGATACCTCTTAGACGGGGGAGGGGTAATATATGTGGTGGCTTTGATAATGAAATTGGCATCTTCAGTGGTTATTTAATCTTGAGTTCTAGTAACTTCTTTAGAATGGATACTTTCAAATTTGACCTTAAATTTGTAGATAATTGGTTGATTAAATAAAACTCTCAAAACCCACATTAAATCTAATATGGATGGTTGATTTCTTTAGCAGGACAATTTGGCACTACTTACTAAAATTAAAAACTATCAACCTCTTAATCAAGTAATTCCACTCGTAGGTTGATCTTCTATATATACCTGGTCATGTGTACAGATTCAGATGTGAGAATGTTCACTGTACCACGTCTTTGAATAGCAAAATATTGGAAGTACCCTAGATATTCTTCAATAGAAGACAGGCTGAGTAAAATACTGTAGATGGATTCAATGAAATAATGCGAAGATTTTAAATCGGTATGTTCTGGCATGGAAAGCTCTCCAAGATTACTAAAATCAGAACATGGTTACAAAATGCTCCCATTTGCATTAAAACAATTATGCACACACCCACACATATACATATCTATATATCTCTATGTGTTTGTAGATATGCACAGAAAATATTTAGGGGAATATAAAAATTTGGAAAGAACACTGTGCAGTAGTTTTCTCTATGGAAGAAACTGGGGGTTCTGGACTAAGAGGGAAATTTCTTTTAATTATATAACCTTTATAATATTTAACTTTTAAAACTATGTATTACTTTTTAAAAAACTTTTTTTACATACCTTTAGTTATTTTTTATTTTTATGTGATGCTAAGGATCAAACCCAGTGCTTCACACGTGCTAAGCGAGTGCTCTACTACTGAGCCAAAACGCCAGAACTACTATTCAATTAAAAAAAGATGTTTGACTGTTTTGCATCTGCACAGCAAAGACTAAGACTCATCAAAACAAAAGATACTCCTTCTCAGGATGACTTACCTGCCTTTGTCATCTCGACAACTGACAATATTGGAATCCATGGCCCCAAGTAGCAATGATGCACAATTCTCATGATCATTTATTCTAAAATAAAAATGGTTTTTAATGTAAAAAAATCTCACTCTTTAAAAAATTACATATTCCTTCCTTACATATTTTTCTACATCCTGTATATCTAACAATCTGATGCATTTAAAAAAATCTGATGCCAATAGTTGTGGTATGTGTTTCAGTGGTACACATGGTAAACCTAGCACCTTTTCAGAACCTCTGCATCCAGGTAGCAGTTCACTGCATACCACTTACACTATGTTATGGCACTCAACATATTAACTGTTTTGAAAATCCCAAAGTAGGAGAGAAATGGATCCTACAGATTTGAAGTCATCCTGAGACTTTACCACAGGCATTTTCTTTATTCATCTATTTTATGCCTCTAATATCTTTCCAACCAAATGACCCAGCATTGTGTGCAACCCACAGACAACATAAAGTATCCTCAGTTCTTGGACTTCCAGGCTGAAAATGGAAGTCTGATTTAAAATCACTGAATTCTCTGAACAATGGCTTATAAGATTAGAGGAGAAATTAGATTTATCAAAAAAGACTTACCACATATGAATAATGGAGAATTACAGTCTATGAAAAGACTTCCTGGTAGAAAATGTGTTTCTAAATATCCATAGGCATATTGTTGTTAACTCTGATTTATTTTAAAAACTTGGCAGACAAATGAACTGTGCTTGAAGAATTCTTCACATCATGTGAAATGTGCCTCTCAACCCACCCCTTCCTGCAGTTTGCCTAAGGTAGTATGTCAATCATCTTGGAACTGTGGCACTCCATAAGGAGCTTCTGGAAAATCATTAACATTAGGGGCCACACTTTGCTATCAGACTAGCAGAAAAATGGAATATTTTAGTCTTATCTGTAATCTAAAAGCTTTTCCTTCCCTAAAAGGCAATTTTTTTTCTAGATGTAGTCAAAAGAGTTAAAGCAACACCATTACCTTCCAGCATTTTTACTTACATTGCACAGTGCAGTGGAGTAAAAGGATTACCGATAAATTTGCGAAAACACTTTTGCTCCAAAAGTACCTCTATACAGTTTTCATTACCTGAAAGGAATTAAAAGAATTTAGAGAGTTTCCAAGAAAGAAACTTTATTCAACATAGTCTGCTTTATTTTTTTTATTAAGTGTTCATTTCTAGCTTAGGAATTTTCCCAAATTGGCTGACTGCTCATTCTCTGTGGAATAAAATTAACAAAAATGCCCAAGTGTTATTAACTAGGCTCACAGGTGTTCTTAGACGTAATGAACAAATCAGACAGTGAAGGCCATATGGTCTGGTGGAGAGAGAGAGAAGACACCTCATTTGCAAACAGATTAGAGTCTGTGTTACCCTCAGCTCTTGATTGATAGATGCCTAACACATATATACCTCAATTTGCCCATATTTGTAATAGGAAATTTACCTTCCACCTGCTCGAATAGGTTCATTTACCCTAGTGAAGGGGAGATAAGTGATTAGTAGAACACAGTATTTTGAGATAATGAATGCAAAAAGGCTTTGAATGTAAAATGCTATGTAAGTGTTTTAAATGGTACCTGGCCAGTAGTAGGCACACAATATTGTTTTCAAAAAGGAGATGAAGAAATGTGAGAATTATCTTTAATAAAATGACAGGCGGCTTCTACATCAACTGAATCTGAGGTAAGATCTAACTCTATCAACTTACTTGTTACATGACCTAAGGCAATTTACTTGGGATCTCTGAGCCTCAGTTTCCCATGTACAAAGTTGGACTAGGAATAACTGCCCTACCTATGTCTCAGAATGATGGGAGTTTTACTCCAGGAAAGACCTAGACATGGCTTGTGAAGTGCTGTACAACTGTCAGGCAAGAAAACATTTTATTTATGTGGCTTTGGAATACAGACTGGTGTCCTGACTGAACTCAGTTCTAATTTAGCAAAAGTTCCCTTATGATCTACCTCAGAATGATGAAGATTGGACAACGTAAAATATTAAAACATAAATCCTCCTTTTTTGTACCTAAAAAGAGACAAGCTGATACTAATTTGAGGAGAATCAAGAAGCATATGAAGTAATGAGGGTAGGAAGCCTCGAGTAGGCACGTTAAATTATCTAGCTTTCCAACAACATCCAACCCTTCCTTCTAAACAGTCCCAGACACCGCAAACCCTCTCATAGTTTGAATCTCCCAAAAGACCTTGCTTAGGGAAATATCTCCATGTACCATTCCTATATGAGTCCCCACCTAAGAGATCACACAGGCAGAACTGGAGATTATCAAACTACTTTCAGAATTTAAAAATGCCCAGTGAAGGGGATTCTGGAAAGATGGGAGCTTGAACCTTGGACTTGGAGGAAGGCTGCCCTGAGTGGGTGAATAGCTTTAGGGAAGACTGCTCTTCTTTCCCTGCCTGTACCTGGAGAGTCCTAAGAGCAGAGAGGACTGCCTACTTCCTTGGCCCAGGATGCCATCTGTGGCAGGTTAGGGCCACAGCAGTCAGAAGTCTCTCCATTCTGCCTCTCCTATAGATAGATCCTCTCCACTGCCTGGACCATCTCATGGCAAGGGGCAGGGGAACCTTTACACATTTTAGGTAAAAAAAATTTCACAATCCTCCAGTGGCAGAGAGGGGGCAAAATTATGTTGAAGAAGCAGAACCAGTTAAAAAAAAAAAAGGCTGTAATGAAAATATAATGAGCACATAAAATTGTTTCTAGAACCAATAATCAGTTTCTAAATAAAAATCTTAACAGAATTAAAAACATAAAAATAAAATTATAGAAAAAGAGTAAGAAATATAGGTTTAGGTTAAGATTTATAGGTTACTGATAAACAAAATGTCCATATAATCTTAGGGGTTGGGGACCAAGACTGGAGACCTAGATACCACAAAGGAAAGCTCAAACATTCACAACTACATAAAATCTCAAATGACTGCATGGGAAAAGATCATAGACTAGGAACGAAAATATTTGCAACACACATAACACACAGAGTATTCAAATATATAACTAAGACAAGGTGCTCCTACAAATGTATTAGAAAGATAAATAACTCAATAGAAAAAGAGTGAGTAATAGATGGAAAAGGCAATTTCCAGAGAAGAATCATAAAGAATCAATGAATGTGCTATTAGATAGGGAAATGCAAATCAAAAACAACAATGAGATTCCATTTTTTATCCTTCAAATCAACAAAAATAAAATAGATGGTAACATCCTGGGCTGGCAAAGCTATGAAAAAATACTGACTTCTATAAACATTTGGTAGTGTAAGAAATGATTTTTTTGGCAAAGTAATGAAGCATACTTTATCATAATTAAAAAATATTCCAACCTTCTTATTAAAAAAATGTCCCTTCTAGATATTTATCTAACAGTATTTTTGGTACCATAATATGAACACATATATTGCCACATTGTTGATAATAGGACAAAAACAAAAACCAATGTGAATGTCCATCAACAAAAATCCGTTTGAAAAATAATAAATCCTAGTGTATGCACAGCTATGAAATAATATCCAGTTATTAAAGCAATCTATATTGATACATATTAACTTGTAAAGATCTTCTGCAGTAGATGTTTTTTGGGGTTTTTTTTGCAGGGGTGGATACTGGGGATTGAACTCAGGGGCGCTCAACCACTGAGCCATATCCCTAACCCTATTTTGTATTTTATTTAGAGATAGGGTCTCACTGAGTTGCTTAGTGCCTCACTTTTGCTGAGGCTGGTTTTGAGCTCACCATCCTCCTGCTTCAGCCTCCTGAGCTGCTGGGATTACAGGGATGTGCCACCATCGCGCTCAGCTTAGAATTTTTTTTTTTAAATTTTTGTTTTGTTTTGTTTTGGAGTGATGGAGATTGAACCTAGGGCCTAACATGTCAAGCAAGCACTTTATCATTGAGTTACATCTCTAGCTCCTTAATAGAATTTTAAGTAAACATCAACCCCCCCCCAAAAAAAAAGTTATAGAATGATGTTTATTATGTAATTCCAACTAAAAACAGATACACATTTGTTCATATTTATATTTAGTATCAGAGGAAAAATTATGAAAGTTACACACTAAATCACATGAGAAAGTAGGTTTGGAAATGGAAACTTAATTTTACTTAAGACACTGCAATATTTCAAATGGTACAATGAACAACCCATACCTTCTTATTCAAAAAAGTGAAATAAAAAATTAAAAGTCTCCCAAATATTAAGTGCAACAAAACAAATGGGGAATATGAAACATAAAAAAGAAATATCAAAAGATAAACCATGCATCTTCTAGTATTCAATTATGACATGTTATTACACCGTGTGTTTTTTGTTCAGCTATATTATTTTACTTCTTTGTGGGATTCTTGGTTATCGTACATAGTTCAGAAACTGATTAAAACTGGCTAGGTTCAGGTTAAGATTTATAGGTTACTGATAAACAAAAAGGGGATAGTGAACTTTTACTGGTCTAAGGCATCAGGGCAGCCATGGGGGTGGCAAAGGTGGAGATCTATTTTAAAAACCACCAAACAGGCCACAACCAACAAACGGAAAAACATATCTTAGGTGCAGCAAGAGTGGAAACCATGGCTTATGGCATTATGCTGTGTTCTTGCCTCCACTGAGATTGCAGTGGTCCTGGGGCAGGAAGTCCAGTGGAATTGGTCAAATGCAAGTAACTCACCATTGTAACAAGCCCAGTGCAGCGGCGTGTAGCCTTGGTTGTCTTTGAAACAATAGTCCTCTTCGGAGAGAGTCATTTGGAGCAGTTCACTCAGCCACGTGGCGTGTCCCCGAGCAGCTGCATAGTGCAAGGGTGTCCTCCCTCTGGAATCTTTACAGAGGATTGACACTTCTTGTTCCAGCAGCATTTGCACACATTCCTCATGCCCTGTCATAATCTGTGCATGGCAAGGAAAACACAAAACAAGCCTTAGAAGGGCAGAAGACTCAGGAAGCAAGACAGTTGGTGAGTGACGCTTGGGCTCACAGTAAGTGCATCTGTGCATGGGCCCTCAGGGAAGCAGGCTCTCTTGGGAGGGAGGTGGGACAACCCCAGCAAAATCCACACCAAAAAAGTCTGTGAGCATCAACATTTTAGAAACATCCCTTGACACTCCAAATAAACCTGAAAGGTATAGTTGAAAATACCAGCTTTACAAGCAGGAAGATATAGTAAAATCTTGTCTCCCTACCCCTCTCTCTGCTTCACTTTATTTATCTATACACAGTAATAGAAATAATGACCTCAGAGGCTGTTGTAAGGACTAATGAGATAATACAGTCATGTGATGCTTACTGACTGGGATACATTCTGAGAATTGTGTTAGGTGATTTTGTCATTGTGTGAACATAGAGTGTTCTTGTACTTACACAAATCTAGATGGTATAGCCCAATGCACATGCAGGCTATATAGTCTATTCCTTCTAGGCTACAAACCTGTACAGGATTTTAGTATACTAAACACTGTAGGCAATTGTAATACAATGGTAAGTATGTGTGTATCTAAACATATCTAAACAGAAGAGGTAGAGTACAATATTAGATGATAACAAATTTTCAGCTCCAATATAATATCATGACATCACCATTGTAAATGTGGTCCATCAATGGCTGAAACGTTGTTATATGGTATGACTATATACGTAAAGGTCACCAGCCTGTTGCATGGCCCACAGGATATGTCCAAAAAATAAGAAGTATGACTGTGACAATGACAACATAAAGTTCGTCTTCTTTCCACTTTTCAGGGTGTTTACACCATCACCAAATAGCAATTTTATGATTTCTGCTTTTGTGCATTTAGTTTTCTTGGGTATGCTTTAAAAAATAGTTCTGCAGATATGTACAAAGAATTGTCCAAAGAATATATACTCTGGCATCATTTGTAATGAACAACAATTAGAAATTGCAAGACTACTCAAAACCAGGTAATCACTAAGAGAAGTTATGGCACATACATACAATGGAGCATTAGAAATGATGGTATGGAAAACTATTTAATGATATCAAAAAAGTTCCTTAACATACTAAAAGGAAAAAAAAGTCATATTCCAAATTGTACCTTCACTATTCTCTCTTATTGAAGGTTTAAGAGAAATCTAAATACAGGAATGAAAAAAAAAAAGATCGGTGATACATATACACCAAAAGTGGTTATCTCTGGGAGATATGATTGCTGGAGATTGTGGTTTTCTGCCTCTGTGCTTTTCAAAAAACATTTTGCAAATTTTCTCCAATGTTCATGTACTTTATAATCAGAAACAGACCCATCCCACTAATAGTAGGTGTTCATGTACCTATTTATCATACTCTAACATGGAATCTTAAGATCAGGACTTAAGGGTACTTTTTGCTATATGTACCGTTGCATGAGTTGTTGATTTCTTTCTTTTTTTTTTTTTTTCCTTTCGGTCACTTTTGATCTCCAGAAGCAGCTTCCTTGTTCACAGACCTCTGTGGGCCCTGATTTTGTTATCTGGGAAGTTCACAGTTGTCTCTTACCCTTGTTTCCTACATCTGCAGTGTTGGGGAGTTTGTCCTCTTGAGGGCTACACCAGTTTACACAGCCCAGTTCTAGCAGGTGCACTCTTGGGGGCTGAGGGTCCCTTTAAGGACCAAATAGTCACCAGCGTTTGTAAACTAGGCTTGTAGTTTGGTAACGCAGTTCCCTCAAACACTTAACTGTAGTCAGCTTCTGCTAATCAGTTGACATGAAGGTAATCTCACTCCAAGATTCCTTCCAGACAGAGAGTCCTCGCCTTTTGTACATGGCTCATTCCTTTTTCCCTCAATTGAATGGACTGAGATCATAGGAAACAACGGGCTTCCACGCGATTTTGTGATTTCCTTTTGATTGGCTGAGGTTTACTGGCTAGATTACGAAACTTTTTTTTTTTTGTACTATAAATTCAAATAGGGAAAGAAAAAAGGAAACAAGCTCATTGAAACAGTGCCGACTAAAGCTGAGAAATATGTACATACCCCTCTGTGTAAAGCCGTGCATCCCATGATGTCAACAGCATCCACATTTGCTTCCTTTTCAAGTAACAATGAAACAGCATCAATGTGTCCATATGCCACTGCGAGCATAAGTGGGGTTCTAGGGAGAGAGATGAACAGCCTTTAAAAAGGAGATAACAGATACTCCTCGTGGGAGAGGTCTCTCTTTTTATTCTTGACAATTGCTGTGTATTTTCTGTGTCTCCAATTTGTTATATGATATGTGGATATAGGAATCTGCCTCTGTTCTAACAGGGCACTGGTGGAATGATTTCTAGGGGTGTAGCAGGGGAAGGTTTCTTCTCAAAATATTATGCTAATCCCATCATTTTTCAGAAGATAATTTAGAACTCTTTTTGACTCAGTCATCCCACTCCTTGGTATATATCCAAAGGACTTAAAATCATCATAAGTGACAATCAATGTTTATAGCAGCACAATTCACAATAACTAAGCTATGGGACCTACCTAGGTACCCCTCAACAGATGAATGGATAAACAAAATGTGGTATATATACACAATGGAGTATTACTTAACCATAAAGAAGAATGCTTTATGACATTTGTTGGTAAATGGATGGATCTGGAGACTATCAGGTTAAGTGAAATAAGCCCTTCCCAAATAACCAAAGGTCACATATTTTCTCTGATATGTGGAAGCTAATCCACAATAAGGTGAGGGGTGAAGAATAAAAATTCAGTGGAGTAGACAAAAGAGAATGAAGGGAAGGGAGGGGAGATGGGAAAAGGAAAGACAGTGGAATGAATCTGACATGACTCTCCTATGTACATACACGACTACACCACAGTGAATCTCACCATTGTGTACATCCACAATAAATTAATTTTAAAGAATAACTATGGGTAAATGGCAGAAAGATCAGTAGAAGGAAGGAAACAGGGTTTGGGGAGAGGGAAGGGGAAGGAGAGGTACTGGGGTCTGACTTAGAACAAGATATATTCCACGTTTTTACAACTATGTAAAAATGGATTCTACTGTCATGTATAACTAAAATGAACCATATTTAAAAAGATGGAGAGAAAGAGGGAACAAAGGTGGGAATATATATATTTTTAAAAGCCAGGAAATAAAGAAACAGCTAGATAAAGGTGATTTTTTCCCCCCATGGAAATATATGGCCACCCCACCCCCACATGCTCTTCCCTAATACACACTGCAGCGCAAAGCACCTCATTATTCTAGAGCCCTCACCCGTGAATTTCATCCAGATATATATCTCCCCAACCTAGAATTCAGCAGTCAGCCCTCTTAGCTGCTTAACAGAGCAACCAATTACCTCTTGTGATTGAAACATCAACCCGAGGCCAAGTGTGGGAACACTTACTGTCCTTTGGCATCTTTCACGTCAACCACTTCAGGGTTGTCTGAAATTTCTAATAATAGCCGCAAACACAGGGTGTGACCATTAATGACTGAAAAAGAAAATAATGGACATTGTTTTAACTACAGATCTCCCTCCAGAGTGAAACCTTCTTGGGCTTCAAATCAGTGACTTGCATTGCCATGGACAGATGTCCCTGGGCCTCCAGTCTGTGATGGCGTGGGGCACAGCCTGCCCTGGTGTTCATTTGTTTTCCCCTTTCTTCCTGTCAAGGAATCTGATCCTCACCTTCCTTGTCTGGCTTCTGTGTCGAGCGGTTTTTCTTAACCTCGACATTCTTTCTTCTGTCCGTGGAGAGGACTGGGATCTCTCCCCACTTGTCAGTCCCTCCCTTTGTTCCTCTAAGAGACTCACTCAGTTCTATATAATCATGCTGTGTCTACCTGCCTCCAGAAGAAAGGAGGAGGAGGAGGAAAAGAGAGAGGAGGGAACAGGGGAGCAGGAATAGTATAGGAGGAGGGAGGAGAAGGGGAGATGAAGGAGCGGGGAAGGGGTAGGGTGGAAGAAAGGCCCCGGGGAGAACAGAACAGGTCCTGCCTCTTCTTGGGGGTCATTCGGAGGTAGACATTCTAACAATAGTTCTCATGGATCAGTGGTAGCCTAAAGTAAAACATCAAGGCACAAAAGTGTACATGATCCATGTGCTCCCTGCTCATTGGTGACTGACTGGCACTCTCAGGAGATGTAGGAATGGGCCCCTGTGGTGTCCTGATGTTCCTCAAACCACAGCCTTTGTTCTCTGCCTTCCAGCATCTCTTGTACAATGCAGGCTGCCCTCAGGCTGCCTCCCTCCTCTCCTTACCCTTTCCTGCCCAGCGGTGACTCAGATGCCATCTAGGTCCCTTCCTAGGGCCACTGGGCCCTCAACTGCCCCCTCCTTGCCCAACAGACCCTGTAGTGGACAGGAATATGGCCCCAACCCTGTCTCAGCCTTGACTGGCTGGGAAAGAGGCTGGGCAGGAGGCAGAAGTCTGAGCACCTGGCAAGTTGCTTCTTTTGGGAATTCTTGGTGCCTGGGGTTATGTGGGTATTGGGATGTAAACCTTCCCGGGATGATAGTGTCCTGGACTCAGGTACTTTCTTCCAGTTTGCTGAATGAAACCCTGAAAAGGTCTTATAATAGACACGGCTCTCAGGGAATAAGATGAGAAAAAAATATGTTTAAAACTGCAGACACGACCTACTCTCCTCTCTGAACAATAAGAACACCATAAAATACATTGAATTTCCCCTGTTATGGATGTGGAGAATAGAGGCAGCTATGTCACACTGATAAAGGCTCTTCTCAGAGCTGCATTTTACAGTGCTTTTATTGCTTGCCAGTCTTGAGAGAATGCTAATTTAACATCGACACGGTTTTCAGGGACAATACATATTAGAATTAGCTCACATTTGTCGACACCATTCAAATGAACTGCAGGAATAATGCCCACATTTTGTAGACCATTGCATTCAGCTCATTCTCAGCAACATTCCATTTATGTATCTCTAGAGGAAATTTCGTGGATCAGAGTTATAGGTAATACATTGTTGCTGCTGTTGTCTTTTTTTTTTCCCTAAAATTACACTAAATCTGTTACCATTGTTGGAATATACAAGGAATTTAATGTATGCCTAAAGGACAGGATTACCAAAGGACTGACAGCTAGGTTCCTGAAGGTGGAAAAATAATATACTTTGACTATTTCCTGTTTCTATATCAAAATGATAGTCTTTAAGTGTTCAAAATCATACTAATTCCAAAGATTTGAATTTTGGCTAAACATAAGAGGAACACAATAATCTAAGTCCATATCACTCATCCAGTGTATTACACAACAAAACAATTTCTATAGTTGTTGTTGTTCTTCTTCTTCTTTTTTTTGGGGGGGGGTACATTAGCTTTTTAAACTTAACTAGTAGTCCTCAGAGAAATTTATGTGCCCCTTAGAGTGAAAGTGTAGTGAAACTTGAATTCTTCTTGGCTTCCCATACACTACATTTCCTCCCCAACTGCCTTCTAGCAAAAAGATGTTAACATCTTCAGCTGTGCCCTGCTAGCTCCAGCTTTGTCTCAGACAAGCTCAGCCTCTCCATGGCTGTGAGTGACAGCCATTTTTCTTGCTACTCAAAGAACACAACTGTCACTGCATCCATCTGTGCCCAAACCTCTAATATCCATCCTGGCTGCCGCTCCTTACAGTACTCTGAGGACTTGAAACAAGGAAATGGGCCTCCTCCAGGGAGTTGAAAAAGATTCTGGGTAAGCAGATCCTCAAGCCACAGGCTAAAGTTCCTGCACAGCAGACATTTTGTAGAGAACAGCATTAGATGACAGCCTGTGTCTTTTTAATGAATGACCTGAAGGAAACCTGAAGGGAGCGAGTCATTTTTACCACTAGGGGGTGCCCTTGGACCACACCTACATGACAATTGCGACTCACTGTTCACCTGTTTATACAGGGCAGTCTTCCACATTTGAACATTATTAATTATATCCAAAATGCCAGGGTGGCCAAAAGGCTAAATGTGATGGGAAGTAAGAATTTGTTATTCAATGACACCAAACATCACTGACCTCATGGTTAAAGTTTTTTCCAGCTACAATCATTTCCAGATATTTAGACAACAGGTTTTTTTTTTTTTTTTTCAGTCTCTGTATTCTATCTTTTCACTGGATTGGAAGTTAAGGAATGGCTGTGGAAATACTTCTACAAAGTTTATCATTCCCAGAAAGTTTTTCCCAATAACAAGAATCATAAAGTTAAGCGGGGCGGGGGGCTATCTTCATTTAATTTTCAATACAACCACATTTCATTGTGTAAATTACTTTTATTTATCAGACCATGACTACTAAAATCCCATCAAAGGCTAATATTACTGACTTTCCTGGGCCCAAAGGTATTTATGCCTTAGCTGAGCCAGAGACTCTTCTACCTTATCTTTATATCTGTGTGTACATCTATAAATATTGAAGGTGGAAGAATAACTGCATGAATTAATGTTTTCTCGCACCTATCAGTTCAGTTCTAACCACATCAACCGACAAGCATTGGAGGAAACTCCCAGAAAAGAAAAACTTGTTACTTTTTGATAAATACATGCACTTTTTAAGAATCTCTATTTTTACATCTGATGCATCAAGAAACAGAACAAAAGCTAAAGAGCATCATTTAGGTTGGTAGAATGATGTACTGATTGGATCACAGTCTGATGTTTCTCTACACGAAATAGACCTGCAATATCATTAATGTCATGCTTTAAAATACCATGTGATTTTGATGTGGTTTGTTCTATAGAACTTATTCTGAGGATCACATTTTATCTTGACCTTTTTTCCACAAAGTTTTGTGGTAGCCTTTTGGTCAAAGGTTCAGAACAGGCTTTTGGGTTAAGGAAAACAACAACAACAATAAAAAGAGGCTGTTGGCCAGAGAACACCAGGGAACACCAATCATCTCCAAAGGTATATCAGATAAAAAATTTTTGGAAATATGTAGGTCTATGTGATATTGAAAGAAAATCAATATTATAAAAATGGGGGTTCAAGAGGATTCTGCCACTTTTTTATTCAAACAATGAATAAAACTAGGGTCACTAGACCCTTGACAAGTCTTACCTGAGGCGTGAAGTGGGGTTCTTTTGGTTACATTGTCTTTCACAAAGATGGATGCTCCCTGATTGACAAGTGCTTCCACACATTCTGTGTGTCCCTTAAAGGCGGCCAGATCCAGAGCCGTGCGGCCTTTCTCGTCCCTGATGTCCAGGTCCACCAGCGACTGCAAAAGGACCTCCAAGGCTTGATGGTGCCCATTGTAGGCCTATGAAGAAGAAGGCAGGGATTTGCAAGCTCACTCACTTCATATCCCACATAATCCAGACAAGGGGCTGAGCTTCCAAGGCCACTCCGAAGAGCAAAGCAGAAAATCCCTTGGGTTTTCTGGCAAATCAGAGCATTAGACACACAAACCTCACAGATACATATGAATTTCTTCATGTTCTTTCTCTTTTGTCAAATAATTTGCTCCAAAGGCACAAAGTGCATTAATATATTTTTATACCTACCAATCTAATTATCTAATATACAATGAATAATTGCATGAATTAATATTTTCTTGCACCTTTCAGTTCAGTTCTAACCACATCAACTGACAAAACGAGGAAAAAATTCAGGAGTGTTTTCTGTTAGCAAAGTTGGAGGAAAAAAAATTACTAAAAACATCCTGGAGTTTGGAATTCCACAGAGGCAGGTAGACCTTTCCTTCCAGTCTAACCTTGACTAAATCAACCATGTGAGCACGTGACCTTAGGCAAGTTTTCTTAATTGCACTTAGGGTTTGTTTCCTCATCTATCAAATGAGAGCAATAAAAGCTGCCTCCTGGGGTTGGTGTGAAGATGAAAAGAGAAAAATTACACGGGCCTTGCATAATGTCTTCTGTGTAGTTGATGCTTCTTCCCTCCTTTATTTCTTCCACTGATTACAATCAAACCATAGAAACAATTAAGGAAATATATATCATGTACCAGTGCCAAGTTCAGATCTATTATGAGATCCTATGATATATCAAGATTAAGAAACTTTATACTACTAAAAAGTAAGACTAAAATTTTGAAAGATATTATTTAGTCAGTCTATAAGGTAAAAAATGTATATCCTTCTCCACCCCCCACTCCCAACAGGCAAGGGACATTGAAAATAAAAGAGAAATGGGGAGTAAGATTATCTGGGGAAAAATGGATCAGAGAGGGAAGTAAAAAAAGAAATAGAGAGGAAAAGCATGTCCCCAAAGTCTAGCAGTCACAGTCCCCTCTTTTGTTACCTGCACCTTTTATTTTCCACGGCAGCTATTACTGAAGGCCCATTTTATTTGAAAAAAAGGCTTAGCACAAAGGATTAATCGCCTTAATATAAAAAGAGCTCTTAGAAACCATTTTAAAAACTAGGAAAATGTACAAAGGGCATGAAAAGGCAGATCACAGAAAAAGAAACGTAAAAGGCCAACAGACATATGAAAAACTATGTAAATTTTTAAAGCACTATTTTCAACTGCCAGATTGGCAATGATTAAAAAGTTTGGTCATGTCCAATATTAGTGGAGACTGTGAAAAAAGCAATCTGATACTCGGTTGGTGGGAGTACAGATTGGTATGACATTTGTGAAGGGTGATTTGACAGTATCTATAAAAATTTTTTTAAAAGAAACTAAGATGCAGATGGTATATATAGCATGACCTCATTTATATAAAAAGCAAACATATGCATTATATACATATTTATATATAGTTCTATGTTCATAGAACATTTTCAGAAGGATATAAAAGAAGTTATTAATAGTGGTTACCTCTAGAACTGGGAGAGAGAATAATGAGCATATGGACTTAGTTCACCTTAGCTTTTAAAAAATCGTTTAAATGTTTTTTCCCCTGACTATATGTTAACAACACTAACAAACACTAGATATCAAATAATTCATAGAAATTAAGAGTACTGATTTATTTATTTATTTTTTTTAAAGTTTGTTTAGTTGTAGATGGATACAACACCTTTATTTTGTATATTGACTTTTATGTGGTGCTGAGGATTGAACCCAGTGCCTCACACATGCTAGGCAAGCATTCTGCCACTGAGCTATAGCTCAATACCCCCAAGAGTACTGATATATTTAAAAAGGACTTTATCATTACATTTTTGTTCATGATTAGTGTTATTTTTACATATTAAACATATATCATATATAATCTGCAATATAATAACTCATAAATTAATGAACTTCAAATTTATATCCTAGTCCCAATCTCTCCCTTTACTTCTAGCTTGTATATCCCACCACCTCTTGGTATTTCCACTTCAATGTTTAACAGGCACCCCAAACTCAGTTCTTAATTTTCCTCCACAAACGTGTTCTATCTGCAACCTTCCCATTTCAGTAAATGGCAACTTTATCCTTATAGTTGCACATGCCCCAAAGCTTGGAGTTATTTTTGTCTTCCCTGTTCTTAAGTGTAAACCATAGCCCTGAACAAGGTTCTGAGACAATAGTACAAGTGGGCACTGAAGAATAGCTCCCCCCACCTTGAATGCCCTGATACGGGGGGCATATCTGCTGAGAGGAAGGCATATCTTTCCTTACTCGCTCAGAGGGTCATGGATTCACAGGTATCCACAGGAAAATGACTACCCATATACCTGCCCCCCATTTTAAGTTTTAATTGCAATTATTAATACATTAATTGTACCAATCAATGGGTTTCAGTGTCATTTTCATACCTGCAGATATCATTCTCTGACCACATCCCCCTCCTTGGCCTCTCTCCCCTCTCCTAAGCAAAAAGAACAATGCTGGAGGCATCACGATACCTGATTTCATATCCCTGTTCTAATTCACATGAAGGTGTGGTTTTTCAAGTAGCAGCCCTCTATGCCCCTCCCTGGGTGTCACCATCTCTACTCTTTCTTTACAATGTGTCTAGAATCTACCCACTTCTCACTATTATAGCTTCTGTATAATGCATAATGTTTTGCCATAATCCTGGAAAAAGCTTCCCTTCCCATCCTGTCCCCCCACAATTTATTACTGATACAGCCACCAGATGATACCTTCCCAAACCCAAGCTGGATCATATCTCTCCTTGTTGAAAACTGACCTATAGCTTTTTCCCTCATTGGTAATGAATTCAAAGCCCCTATTACCAGTCAGGTCCTCAGGATCTGGCTTCCTCTACCCTTATCTTCTGCACATCCCTTTGCTCACACTCACCCCCTCTGAATTAAATACATGCTTTTCCTACTCTGGGTCATTGCACCTTTCTGTTTCTTGTGTCTGGAAAGCTCTTCCTCCAGAGAGACACATAGCTTTCTGGTGCTTCTGTTGGAATACCACCTTATCAGAGAAGTTTCCCAGAGAAGCCGGTGTGAAATAGCCCTCCACTCTCCACCCCACTTAGCCTGCTTCACTTTGTCTTCACAGCATGTATTACCATCTGATATCCATTGCGTGTCTATTGATTTGTTTGTCTGTGACTGAGAGGACTTTATGCGGACTGTTCACTGTTGTATCCTATAATTATGCTTAGCACTGAACAATTATTTGGTGAATAAATGAATGACTGTTATCATTTATTCATTTTAGTGGTAGAAATACATTCTTTAAATACCAAAGATTTATTAAGGGATTGTTATGTGTGGGGCACCATGATGAGGGTCTAGCATCTTGTTTAATCTTTGCAAACATCCTTTTTCATTGATGAAAAGCACGAACAAGCAGTTTTAATGCACTCATTTGTGACCATTTAGCTAGTGACAAATCAGGCTCTGAAATCCAGAATCTGTGACCTAAAAGCATGCTTGAAGCATATACTTTTCCCCAGTAATTCCATTTAGTTGACTTTCAATCTAAATACTTTTGTGTTTACATGTAATGGAACAGGACTGAATAACAATACTGAATCAAAACCCAAACTCCTGCTATAGAAAGCTCAACATAGAGATAAAGTGATTTGAACAGAGCTATAGAGCAAGAAGGTACACCTCTGGGACTAATTTCTGAACTATTGCTCTTTTACTGCACACACAGCCTCTCTTGAAATAGAAATACAAATTCCCATATGTCTAACTTTTGATCTATACTTGCTGTGCAAACCATAACTGCATGGGACAGTGAGCTTTCATTCCAACCTGAATTCTAAAGGAACAGCTAACTTCTACTGACAGACTACTGTGCATCAGACAGCATGCACTGGACATGTATTACCTCATTTAATTCTCACAACAGTCAGCGTTTAGATATTCTTGTTATCCTCATTTTATCAATGATGACCAAGTTTTTCATGGAGAACCTGTGTTTCAAAGGTGGAGACTTACCTGCGGGCTTTTCAAGAGAGAGTATGAAAAGGATGCTATATGGCTCTAAGGGGGTATCTCTTTAACTTTTTATTATAGGAAACTTCAAACACACACACCATACACACACACACACACTAATTAATTCTGATATACCCTTCAATCAGTTTCAGCCATTATCAAATCAGGCTACAGGTGATTTTAAGCTAACTCGGGAGCATCTAATCTTATGTAAAGGGCTGTGGTAATAGAGGCATCTACAACATGATGTGAGTCAGTCTTTTGTTTCACTATGAGCTTCAATCTGTTGCTTATTTGAAAAATGACTTTGCAAAACGCTTCATCCCATTTTCAACTGTAATGGTAGCCACTGATTCAACTATGTAGAAATCACGACTCTACACCAAAGGAAAATGAGCCCATGTAGATAACAGCAGGGTCTAGATGCTATTTGCGAATACTGGCTCCTTCAGTGTTATGACACGGACAATAAGGACTTTAATCTCTGTTAATTTGACTTGGCCTAGGAAAATGGAATTGGAAAATTTATAATACATCCATGTATCTAAAGCACAATGGCTCATGCACTTAGGTTTGGAGAAGAAACACAGGGGAATGAGAAAGATCCAGGAGGGAAACTGGTAGGAAGGTGTCAGCACTGTCCAGAACAACAGAATCGTAACACAGGGTGCTTAAGTGAGGTGCTGACTTCAGAACTTGCCCCTGCAGAAGATACCTGCACTTTTCCCTTTAATCCTCACAACAAAAAATAAACTCATCAGCTTGTGTTAAGGAAGCTTAATATTAAAATAAAATGAAGCGAATGGCTGTAATCCCAGCTACTCAGGAGGCTGAGGTAAGAGGATCACAAGTTTGAAGCCAGCCAGGGCAACTTAGTGAGACCCCGTTTCAAAATAAATATAATAATAATAAAAAATTAAAAGGGCTTGGGATGTAGATTTTTTTTTTAAAAAAAAAAAGTGAATCTGTTAAGTAGAAAAGTTTTAGAATTTTAACCCATACTTTCTTCTATATCAGGAACTTGAAAATGCTCTTAAAGACAGAATGATTGAAAGGCCAGATTGATCTATAGAATTTTTCATGCTTCTTCCTTTAGTCTACCTTGCAGCACTTGAACTTTATGCATAAAGCCTTCATTGGAGGTTCAATCAGGCTTTTAAATGATTTTAAGAAATAACTTCTTTTAAAAAAACACCTCATTAGGATAACTTCTATTTCTTAAACATGATTAATTTCTCCAAACCTTTCTCCATAGGAACTAAGGGCAACAGGGGAAAGAATTGGGACCTCAATAGAGTCCATGAAAAGAATGGGTCCATCTGGAAATCTTAACAGCTGGAGGCTTTCATTTGCATAACCTTCTTTCTTAATTTTTTTTCAAATTGATGAAATGTTTATGAAACTCACTGAGCTGACAACCTTGGAGACCTGAATCATTCAGACAGGAAATAGTCAGGTCTCTTGTAGCAGTTAAGGTTTGAGGGTGTCTGGGGGCATCTGATTCCATTTCTAGAGTGCTTCCACTCAAGAAATTATGTGCCTTGGGTTTTATCAGGTTAATTGCTAAAGAGACTAGAGAACCTAGGAGAGGGTGGGCATACTTATGAGGTTCTTGAAGCAAAAGATTTTTTTTAAAAAAAAGCGTTAGACTTTAGAGGAAAAGAATAGTCATCATTGTCATTTCCTTCCAGGTTGTCTTGCTTCAGCTTTTGAGCCCTTATAATTTAACACAGAAGTTAAGTGAGCCTTAGAACAGGGACCCTGCACCTAACAGAAGAAAAAGTAGGTCCAAATCTCCACCATTGTCAGCTTAGGAACTGACTTCCTTAACAAGACTCCTAAATCGCAAGAAGTAAAATCAAGCATCAATAAATGGGATGGAATCAAACCAAAAGCTTCTTCACAGCAAAGGAAACAATCAAGAACATGAAGAGAGAGCCTACAGAATGGGAAAAAATCTCTACCACACGCACCTCAGATAGAGCATTAATCTCCAGGATATACAAAGAGCACAAAAAACTTAACACTAAAAAAAAAAAAAACTCTCAAATAACCCAATCAATAAATTGACTAAGGAACTGAACAGACATGTCACAGAAGAAGAAATACAATCAATAAACAAATATATTTAAAAATGTTCAACATATCATGTGATTTGTCTCCTCAAAACTGTCCAAATAGTTTCCTATTTTGCTCAGAGTAAAAGCCAAAGTTCTTAGAATGGACTATGAGGCCCTCGGGATCTATGGCAGCCCTCCCACCACTCCACACTCTCCACAGTATGTCCTCCTCACCACCTCCCTTACCACCCTGCTCTAGCCACAGGGGCCTCTTTGCTGTTGTATGGACATGCCAAGCATGCCCTCACCCCAGGACTTTGCACTTGTGCCCAGAAACACCTTCTGTCAGACATGGACATAAGCAGCTCTGTAAGTCTCTGTTCAAATATGAGATTCTATGCTATGTAAAATAGCACCCTGTCTACCACCTTGATACTCTCTCTCTCATGGATCTCATTCATTTTCTTTGCTACTCCTTACCATCTGTCATGGTATATATTATTTGCCTAATGTCTCTTCTAGCTGGGAAACTCTCCAAGGACAGAGACCAGGATTTCTTTACCGCAACACCTCCAGCTTCTAGAAGAACGCTTGGCAGTACTCACAGTCAGTATATGTCGAAGGAAAGAATGATATCAATGTTAATAATGATGAGGCTGAAGCCAGCTCATCTAATCACTTTATAAGCACTAACTCATGCCATTGCCACAATGACCCCTGATGAGGTACTACTATTCTCATATTTTGAGAAGAGAAACTGAGACACAAAAGATTAGGTATTTGGCCCAGATCACACAGTTAACAATTAAACAAATTAACAAATAGGGAAGTGTCCTTAGAAACCTCCGTTAATTTACTCCTTCATTTATAGGTGGGAAAACCATGTCCAGGTGAGTTAGCTGGGATCTCCTCTCTGTGTGCTTCCTTGACCCCTGCCAGCTGCAGGACAACTGAAGCCAACTCTTTCCAATGATATCATCACCCTGTCTTTATAGGGCTGGAGCCCCATGGAGATCAGAGAGAACTGGCACACAGTAAGCACTTCACAAATAATTTTTGACAAAAATGAATGAGAGATGATAGAATTTTTGGAATTCAAGAAACTCTCTCTCAGATTAATTAATAGCAGGTTTGACAGTGCAATTGACCTCACTTTCAAAGGCACGAGAATTCTGTCTGAGAGAACTCTCCTCACAGGCCTCTCTGGGGGCAGCCAGGGCTATTTTGTGAATTCTTACTCTTAGGGAAGCTTCCCCAGGCACAGCAGATGGCTGGGCAGGGATTCTAAAGAGCAATCTTTAGAGCAACCTGTGTTAATAGCCAACTGGTATGAAGCTTTTTACGTATAAATATCCCACTGTCTACCCATTTCTCCACTTGAAGTCCACCTCCAGGAACAAGAGGTTACTAATGTCACTGCATTCAAGATGAGTGTGTGCGCACACATGTGCATGTGCTGGTGTGTATAGTGGCTGTATTGGTGGGTGAGGCAGAGGATTGTGACTGGGGCGTCAGCAGGTGTGCTGTTGAGTACGTGGAGAGACAGGTAGGAAGGGAGGGCTCCATGCATCCCCCGTGATCAGTTCCGGGTACTCCCAATCCTTGTGCCATTGATGGCCTTGTCTACTCCCATTCTGCATGAATGCCTAAGTGTGTCTATTAATAAAAAATTTCTCTCTCCTACCTCTCCATCTCATTTTTTTTAAATCAGAACACCACTGAAGAACTGGTTAGACATGCATAAGTGAAATATCATAACAACAGTTAAACTTTGACATACCCCCTTCCCATTTTTCCCAGAGTTCTGCTTCTTCTTTACTAGGCAAAGAAGCATCCAGACACCACCTCTGTGACCATGAACTGAGTGCTTGAAATTCAGCAGCACTCTGGGCAGGAGAGCTGGCTGTGGCCCAGTGTGGGCACCAGACAGCTGGGCTCTTCAGCATAGCCACAGATCACCAATGTCCAGCTGGACAGGATGCAAGGCAGAGCAGCAGAAGTGATTCCCACATTGGTGCCCCATGAAGAGTCTCGGGTGCTCCACTCTGAGCAGCTGGATTTCTCTTTGATTACTTGGATATGGAGAGGAAGCTTTACTGGTGATAAGACAACTCTTCTTCCTCTCCCTCCCAGATCTCACCTAGTATAAGAACTGGAGTCTAAGACTTACTCTAAGACCTTGATGTCAAGTCCAATTAATATACAGTTGCAATTCTATACCCGTTCACTTCTCTTGGTGCTTAAAAACCCTGATAGGTTTTAATTGTGTTATTTGAATCGGCTTAAAATTTGCATATTATTGTCTAGGAGCAAATTTCTTAAACAGAAATGTTTCTTTGAATTTTAAAGATGGATAAATGTTATAAAATATGCTGTTGTAAAGATTTTATATACATTTTATCTTTTCATTTGTTCTCATTTTACAGATGGGGAAACTGAGGCTCAGCACAGGGTAGGTAATGTCTTTAAGGTCACCAACTGGTAAAGCTGGGACTGCGAGTTGAAGTAGTCTTTCTCTCTGCAGCCTGGACCTTTAACCATGTCTTACTTTCATATCACAAGTTACTCATTACTATGCTTACATTTCAAGAGCAGCCTAGTTTTAGCAATGCTTGGATTCTTTTTCTGACAGGGGAGGTTGCCCACAGCCTCTCACTTACAGCTAAGTGGAGTGGACTCTTGGTAGCACCGGAATCTGATTCTTCAAAACCATTGTTGGTTCTTTCCAAAAGCTGTGGAGACAAAAAAGAAAGCAACAGCATTAAATTCAATTTTACAAAAGAAATAGTAGTTTGTAGAAACTAAGTGAAAAAGGAGACTTCAGAAACTTAAGAAACTATGTAGCTTATCAACACTTTAAGAAAGCAAATATAGCTTATCTAAAACAAATATGCTGACAAGAATATTTAAACTTCTAGATCTTTCAGCATTTGTTATTAAAAATGCCTTCATATTTGAAAAGAAGCTTTGCTTTGCTCATCCAGAAAAATAGTGCACTTCTAATCCATCTTCACCTAGTATCCTTTTCTCACACAGTTTATACTTTAGAAAAAGAAAGTATAGATAGACAGACAAATATATATAAGTAGGAAAATATTTAGAAGTGATATGTGCTATGATAAAAACAAAATAGGTATGATGTAATGTACGTTCATAGGAGGATTACTTTAGAGCAGAAGATCAGGGAAGGCTTCTCCAAGGAGGTGATATTTAGAGTCCTGAAATAATAAGACCTAAGCCAGATAAAAGAGTGGCAGAGAGACTGGGAGAAGGGAGAAGTCAATAGAATACATCAAGTAGAGACAACATGGCAAGTTCAAGGAACAAAAATGTCACTGTGGCCAAGCCATGGTGTTGGTAAAGGTGCCAGGAAAATGACATTCTCATGGAACCCTGGCAGGAGAACAAATTACCAAAACCTTTTTAGGCAATTTATGTGTATTTCTCACCCTAGGCATTAATAAATAAATAGATTCATGCTCAATGAGGCATGTATAAAGAAATTTATTAATTTTGACAAACAATGAATAATTACCATGTATTTAGACACTGTACAATGTACTGAGGATTCAACAATAAAGTATTTTAAAATAGATTTTCTCATGGAGGGGGGGCATGCAATAAAAGAAAAAAGTCATGTAATTCACTAGAAAGTTTGAGGTGCTCCTGAAGAATTAAAAGCCATCTCACTACGGTGATACCTGTACAACCATGTTTATAACAGCACAATTCACAATAGCCAAACTATGGAAGCAGCCTAGGTTTCATCAACAGATGAATGGATACAAGAAAATGTGGTATATACACACACAATGGAGTTTTATTCAGCCACAAAGAAAAACGAAATGACATTTGCAGGAAAATGAATGGAGCTAGAGACCATTATGTTAAGTGAAAATAAGTCAAATGCAGAAGCTTAAAGATTGTATGTTTTCTCTCATATGTGGAAGGAAAAAAGAAAACAAAGGTGGAAGTGGAGGTCCTAAATATCAAAGGGGGATCATTAGAGGAAGGGGACCAAGGGGTGAGAGGCAGGGAGGGAGGGGGGAAGTACAGAGGAGTGTGACATTGGTTAAATTATATTGTTATATTGTGTGCATGTACAAATATGTAAAAACAAATCCCACCAATATGTACAACTGTAAAGGAGCCAGTACAAAAATGTGAGAGAAAAAAGAGAAAGTTTGAGGTGCTATGGAGGAAAATGAAGCAGAGGAGGGGAGTTTGGAGAGCTCAAGGGGAAACCATTTGGAAATTTTAAGGAGGGTGATCAGTGAGGGCCTTCCTGAGTGGGTGACAGCCCCGTCCCTCTTGGGAGAGATGAGGGAAATATGTGGGTATCTGGGGAAAGAGCATTCCAAGCTGAGGGGTCAGTAATTGCCAAGACTCTCAGGGATAGGGGTACTTAAAAACAACAAGGAGGCAAGAATAAAGTGAGCCGGCATGCAGGGGAGGAGAGCCCTGGGGGTTGCTGTAAGGATTCTTATTCCAAGTGAGATGGAAATTCACTAAGATGTCATTCTTTTGAGCAAAGGAGTGACATGATCTAACTTTGACACTCTAGGGAAGCAAGGATGGAAGAGACCACTCAGGAGCTGAATTCACAGTCCATGAGAGAAATAACAGTGGCTTAGAACAGCAGGAAACAGGGGGTGACGGAGAGTAATCACTGGATCGTGGATGTTTTTGGAGGTACAGTCAACAGGATTTGCTGATGGACTGAAGTTGAATGAAGTTGAATGAGGGAGACATCAAGGATGACTCCCTGTTTCTGTCCTAAGAAAAAAGAAGGATGGAGGGGCTGTGAACTAAGATGAAAACTGTGAATAAAGTAAAGAGAGGGAAAGAGCAGAAGTTTGCTTGGGAAGTATTAAGTTTGAGGTGTTTAGAGAGAATATAAAAGTATATCTTAATCTCTAGGGTATATAAAGAACTCAAAAAACTAAGCACCAAAAAAATAAATAACCCAATCAACAAATGGACCAAGGATCTGAACAGATACTTCTTAGAAGAGGATATACAATCAATTAACAAATATATGCAAAAATGTTCATCATCTCTAGCAATTAGATAAATGCAAATCAAAACTACTCTAAGATATCATCTCACTCCAATCAGAATGGCAGCTATTATGAAGACAAACAACAATAAATGTTGGTGAAGATGTGGGGGAAAAGGTACACTCATACATTGCTGGTGAGACTGCAAACTGGTGCAGCCAATATGGAAAGCAGTATGGAAATTCCTTGGAAATCTGGGAATAGAACCACCATTTGACCTAGCTATCCCTCTACTTGGCCAATATACAAAAGACTTAAAAACAGCATCCTAAAGGGACATAGCCACAACAATGTTTATAGCAACACAATTCACAATAGCTAAACTTCGGAGCCAACCAAGATGCCCTTTAGTGGGTGAATGGATTAAAAAATGTAAAATATATACATAATGGAATTTTACTCACCAATAAAAGAGAACAAAATCGTGGCATTTACAGGTAAATGGATGGCATTGGAGAAGATAATGCTAAGTGAAATTAGCCAATCCCCCAAAAAACAAATGCTGAATGTTTTCTCTGATATAAGGAGGCTGATTCATAGTGGAGTAGGGAGGGGGAACATGGGAGGAGTAGATGAATTCTAGATAGGGCAGAGGGGTGGGAGGGAAAGGGAGGGGGCAGGGGGTTAGCAAGGATGGTGGAATGTGATGGGCATCATTATCCAAAGTACATGTATGAAGACACGAATTGGCGTCGACATATTTTATATACAACCAGAGATATGAAAAATTGTGCTCTATATGTGTAATAAGAATTATAATGCATTCTGCTGTCATTTATTTTTTTTAAAAAAATCATTTAAAAATCACACATTTTACAAATTAAAAATAAATAAAAATAAATAAATAAACAAAAGTACATCTTAGCTACTAAGAGTAAAGCTTTGGAGTCCAGGATATTTGAAGCCTTAAGATCGGGGGATAGGACCAGGGAGTAAAGTAAACTAACAAGAGTCTACACCCCAGGACTCAGTCTCAGGGACATTAAGAGTAGAGAGATGAGGAGGAACAGTAAGAAGACTTAGATAGAGCAGGTGAAAACCAGGGAAGCAAGAGGTTCTGGAACCTAGTGAATAAAGGGTGTTAAGAGAAGGAACTGTCCTGTCAACTGTCCTGATGGGTCAATTAAAATAAGGCCCAAGCTATTAATGACTCTGAGAATTTATCAAAACATTATATGAAAAATAGAAAGAAAAGGAAATACCTAGCAATAAGACTAAATACATTGTAGTGGTATAGATTACCCCATTCAGATAAATTGTCCCTCTTTTTCATATAGCGATGTATCCAAAAGGAGCCCAGATCCAACACCAAAAGCTCTGATATATGGTGAGAGTCAATGTCCACTCCAGCCTCCTGACTGGTTGGCTTGGGCTGTCTATCTGGCAGAGACGGGACAACCAAGAGCCGCACTTCCTAGGCTCCCCCGAGTTATTTCTAGATGTGATTTAATTCTTGCCAGTTAAACACACTAACATGAAATTTTGAAGTCAAGAATGAGGCAGAGGAAATCTATGTGGTTTCTAATGAGGAGCACAGTCATGGAGGCCTTTGTTTCTTTGTTTTTTAGCTTTCAGGATACAAGCCACTAGCCACTGAGGAGAGAGAAGTAAGAGGCAAGGATGCAGGGCATCCATTTTGGGGCCATGTGGCTCAATTTAAAAAGCTGTGTGGCATAGTGACACATGCCTGATACTCAGGAGGCTGAGGCAGGAGGATTGCAAGTTTGAGGCCAATCTCAGCAATGTAGCACCTTGTCTCAAAATAAAAAGTAAGGAGTGATAGAGCTCTCCTGGGTTCAATCCCCAGTACCACATGCACAAGGCTGTGTGGCTCTTGGACAATAGTAATGGCAATGACAAGACCCCTGCATGTCAGTAACAGTGATGTGCCTCTGGAGCCAGTCATTCTAGTGGTTGCCTCTGATTCCCTATCTCACTGGTCATGGGGAAGGAAGGGGCAGCCCCTCATCCCTTGCAGTTCAGTTCGCCAGCTTAGTGCCCACTCTTCTAAACTTTTCAGTAATCTTTTAGTTTATCTTTATTTTGCTTTATTTATTTTTATGTGGTGCTGAGGATTGAACCCAGTGCCTCCCATGTGCAAGACAAGCACTCTGCCACGAGCCACAAGCCCAGCCCTCCCAGTAATCTTTTAAACACCAATTTTATAAAATTAAATCATTTTCTTCTTAAAATAGGTAGCATCATTTCTGTTTCCTTCAAATGAAGCCTGAATAATGCAAAAAGTAATACAGATTTTTATAGAAGTTTTCTCATTGCGGGGTGGGGTACCAGGGATTGAATTCAGGGGCACTCGACCACTGAGCCACATCCCTGGTCCTATTTTGTATTTTATTTAGAGACAGGGTCTCACTGAGTTGCTTAGTGCTTCGTGCTTTTGCTGAGGCTGGCTTTGAACTCATGATCCTCCTGCCTCAGCCTCCTGAGCCATTGGGATTACAGGTGTGCAACACTGTACCCAGCTAGAAGTTTTCTTAATGAGTATGATGGAGTGGGAAATGATACATTCAATGCACTGGAAAGCAAAACTTTCTAAAAATCTACTTTATCAATTTTTCTCTCCATGACAGTTCTCAAACTTTTCAAGTAAAAAACACATTTTAAAGCCATATGCATAGAATAACACTGTTTTCACCAAAAACCAGAAAAACTGT